TATAGGTCAAAACCAAATAGAGAAGTCATTTTTTCCTTCTATCAGTACAGAAAGTCCAAGTGAGAATCCAGGTTTTGCATAGTACAAGTGATGAAAAAAATAAAATACTCTTAATGAATGAACAGATTTTTATGTTTTGCTGGGGATGTCATGACAGTATGTGCAGAAAGGAAGATGAAATAAAGAAAATCCATGTCCAATACTGAGCTCAGATAATATTGCCTACAGCTGTACTTTACTGACTTGCATGAAAGACCTTTCCCACCTGCCACTGAAAGTTGTATGTGTTGCTTTTTTCATATAACATCACCCAAGACACTGGTTACTAGAAGTGAAAGGCTTCACTTCTGAGCTGTCATGAGAACATGTTATTGTCATGTGAAATCCAAGATCACCCATCCACTACTAAAATTATTACCATAAAGGTACAAAACTTGGTGAGATTAAAAGTAGCCTTATAATGCATCTATTTTATCGTATGTATAAATGTTTACCTTGCTTTATCCCACTTACTGCTAGATGCTGCCAAACTGCTCCAGAAACAGCATTATAATGGATGAGAAAAAAAAGAGCAAATGAGTAATGAAACGTATGTACTAGAAATAGAACTGGCATCCATATGTAAAAAAACCTTGCCAAAAATTGTCAGTATTGATAGTTTTGTCTACGTTTATATATGGCCAGACCATGTGACTATTCTTTATGATGGTGAATGCTGACAGTATTTATATTACATTTGGTCCAGGAGCTTACATTTAGAATTATAGCGAAAAGCACGTTTTCAAGTCCCTGTATGTAAGAAAGAAATACCCTTACTGTTTTCTGTCAGCTGTTCAGTACAGTAGTTTTCTGTTAGAGCTTTTATTTCACAGCTTATGTAGGGTTAAGGCTTGAAGGCTTTAATTAGTAAGGAGAAATCAAGGAAAGACAAGATGAAACAAAGCATGGAAGGAGCAGCTGAAGGACATTTTCTGTCTGTTTTGGGGGATATCAAATCATGCAACATTTTTATGTAGCTGAGAAATGTTTTATATTTCTTGATGCTATTTTTATGCTTTCCACAATACAAGTTTCACATGAGGTTGTATTGGGTTGTATGAGCTCTGATGGTTCAGCATCACTGTGTCTTGCAAGGTCACTGGATTCAGAAAAGCCTGGGCCAGAAATCCTCAGCTTTTAAGATAACTAAGAGGAAGAAAGGCAGCAGCTGCCAACCCTGGACACAGCTCCCACCTGTCTGTTGCAGAAAATGTTTCCCTTGACTATTCAAGGACCACATATATCACCTGTAGGGGTTATTGGTAAATTGACATCAGTGGTCGTAGGTGCATTTGAAGAAGACAGTTGGTATGCCTGAGTCCTGGCTGGCAGGAGGAATAGCAGAGCAGACATTAGACATAGTTTCCATGTTTCCCACATTGAAACTTCAATCCCCTTTATGTGAGAGAGGAAAGATGGTTAAAGAGGAAGTTAGGCTAATTCTAGTTTAAACCATGTTCTTCGGTTATGCTGACTCCACAAAATTGTGCAAAAGCTTAGATGGCCAGTTCAGCTTTTGTAATGTGCTCAAAGGAGGGGTGATGCATGTCCTACTGTCCTTCAAGACTGGCCAGCAAAGATCAGTGAGGACTTGGAGTGAAGTATCAGAGATACTCACTACCGTAGAGTACACATTAATAAGCCTTCTACGTAAGGACCTACCCAACAGTGTGTGGCAGAAACTCAGTTATTCCTACAGAGCCTTTACAGACCTATCAGCTTGCGCTAACTGGTAACTAGCAGGGTGGAGTACAGCTGAGTTTTTACTATTAAATCAGAACAAAACTCCAGCTAGCAAACTGAGCTTTTTATTTTTATTTTGTCCATGAATATGAGGAATTTTTTTCCTGAACTGTGAAGTCTGTCTCTTGGGTTCATTTATGTTTGTCTTGTTTTTGCCATAGTCTTTAGATATTCACATAACCCTTATTAATTGGGATCATGTTTGCAGCATTTGCTGTCCTCCTCATGAAGTTAAAATGTGTGTACTTTCCCTATGTGTGCAACATAATAGGCATCCATAGCACAAGCAATATATACTGTCATTAGTAATACAAATAAATAGAAAACTCTTTTTGGTTGTTTTTGTGTTTTTGTTTTTTTTTGTTTACATTTATACTTACCCTAAATTTTCATAAATTAACTTACATTAGGTGGAGTTGAGTTTAATAGGAACCAGAATAAATTTGCTTTTTTTCACATGTGTGTGGGAGGATGAGAAATATATCCATTATATAGTGTTTGAAGCCTGTTTTTAAAAGGTCCGTTAGTAAATGGTTTACAGAGCAAAATATCATTCCGCCTGTTGTATTTGCAACCTTGTATCTGCTTTGTCCCATGTAATTCACGCATTCATGTATATACTGGAGCTATCTTGAAACAGCTAGCTCTTCCAAAATTAACATTTTTTTTCATGAGGTTTGGCTTATGTATTAGCTCTACAGTGGGGCAGAAAAGAGGGAACTGTGCAGTAAATAGCCTCAGGCATGGGATGCACTGTGATCACCTGGGAAAACAGTTATGGACTGTTAAGAAAGAAATTTCTATTTTCCTTCCAGTGTAACATTTTCTTTCTTTAGTTCTTGTGAAATGATCCATGCTACTTTACTACGCAAGCACATCAAGTCCTCCTGCTGTCTCTCAGTGCAGTGTAGCCAGGGAGCAATCTTTGGGGAGCTAGGGACCAGTAGCCATCTCACCCTGCACCTCCTTGAAAAGCAAAAGCCGTCTGCAGGTTTTGTCAGAAATAGCTTATCATAAAAGCTTCAGACTACCACCAGCAACAGTTTTAGCAGGCCAGAGACCTACAGGAGTCTGAGAGGCGTGACAAAAAGAAGTGTTATTCTGGCATCCCTTCTGTCTTCCAGAAGCATGTACATGACTCCAGAGACCCAAGAGGCAGCAGTTCGGTAGCTGGGTGTTGCGTGCAAAGCAGGGGTGTTAACTGGGGAGTTAATATTAATGGCCACAGCCTGGTGGGTGACCTTTGCATTCAGACGCCATCTGAAAAGCACTAATGAAATGGTGCAGATAGCTGTCTGAATTTTGCATCCTGGCCCGTAGTGGGAAGCATTAGAGTTAGTGATTTAGTCAAGAATCTTGTGGCGTTTGAAGGGCTGCTTTGAGATCCCAGTCCTCAAGTCCAGAGGTTAAGGGGTGATCTCAATTTTCATCAGAAGTAGTAAGAAGAGGTTGCAGAGAAAACGTCATAATTCATATTAGCAGAGTGCACCCCAAGGGCTCACAAAACAGGCAAATATAAAGAATAATAAATGTGTACCCCCTTAAAATGAACAAATACAACTGCTGATTTTTAGGGCAGCGTGCAACTGCTGGAGCTTGTGCAAATCCTTTTCTGGTAGCCGAGGAAGGCAGAAGCCTGCAGGCAGCCACCCAGCTTCCCAGAGCTCTCTCTTTCCCCTCTCCTTCCTCCATCACGTCCTCCTCTGCTGACAGAGCCACATGGTTTTATTGTCCTCCCATCGGCTGTCAGTGCAGGGCTGGCAGCAGCGCAGGCCCACACAAGCTGCCTCGCAAGCATCCTACCCCCAATCTGGCTTTGGTTCGCACCCCTATTCTTGGCCCCTGCACCTCCAGCCATGGCCAGCTGGCTGCCTCCATGGCGGGCGAGGTGTGCTGCACGCCGAGCCTCCTCCACCGGCCCGCTGGTGGGGCTTGCTCCCCGGTGCTGGCAGGGGCCACATGGTAGAGGGGGAGGTGTCAGGCTGCACCGCTGTTCCACTTCATCTCAGGGCAAAGCCGTAGCGCCAGGTTGGAAGGAGGAGGGAGTCGCAGTTTGGGTTACCGTCTGTTTAGAACCCCTATGCCCCGCGTTAACCGTAAGTAGCTCCTGGAGACGGAGGCTTTTCTTGGAAAGCTGCTTTCAGAAGGGTGACCCCTGAGCTTGTGCGGTGCTGGGGGCCAGCAGGAGGGTGGGACCCCAGACCAGATCCGTGTCTGGGGAGCCTTGGCTCAGGCAGTGGGGTCCCTTTGGCAGCATCAGCCCTTCCCGTAGCTTCCCAATGGCATGCTGGCTGCCTGAGCCAGGCCTGGGCACTGCCTCACTGCCATCACTTGGCTCCAGATAACATGGGTAAGGAACTGACGCCAACATGAATGCATGGTGGTAGGGAGAGAAGGTTGCCTTTTCTCCCTTGGGCACCTGTGCGGCCCCCAGCCAGCCACGATGGCAGCCACCCTGCCACCGACAGGCCTGGTGAACCCTGCCGCCCTTGAGGGCAATAACTGCAGTGCTGCCATGAGAAGGTGGCCAGGGAAGCCCTTCCCACAGTGACGGAGCAGGATGCCCAGCCAGGAGGTCCATCAGGAAGGATTGCCATGAGAGAGAGGGAGATGGCTGGTGGGCATCGTGTCCTCTTCAGGGCTGGTGGCAGGAACCTCTGCCGAAGCTGGCAGCAGATGCTGGCAGAAAGAGCAGGGTCCCTGGACTGGAGTTTGCGCCCAGCTGTTTTGGGTCCCTGTCCAGAAGGGACTTGGCCTGGGTCCCAGAGGAAGGAAGAGGAGCTCCCAGTGAGTCAGCAAGGCTTGGCTTTGGTCGCTCCTTGCGGGGGCAGATAAAGCAGAGATGGCAGCTTGCTTACTACCCTGGCATATCGGCCCTCTGCATTCCTACCAGGGATGCCAGAAGCCTGAGCTCCGCTGTCTGTCCTGCCCTCTCCTTCCTCACAGCTCCTGGTCACTATTCCTAAGTGTTTGGTAGTGTGTGTTTGTGCATCTTCTCAGGCACTGGTGGGAAGGGTCTCCCCAGGGGAGAGTTTGTCTTCCTGCTATATGCTGAGGGCATGTCTGGCACCATGAATCCTCACCTCCACTGACAGCAGCAGCGTATCTAAAAAGTGATGAGCATTTAAGCAAATGACCAGCTGTTCATCTTCTTGTGGGACAGACAAGCGCTTTACTCTGAAACATGGTCGAGCTGACTTCTCTTCTCTGGTTTGCAGGAAGCGTTATCAGTGGTGAGTGAAGACCAGTCCTTGTTTGAGTGCGCCTACGGATCACCCCACCTTGCGAAGACAGAGATGACGGCCTCCTCCTCCAGTGAATATGGGCAGACGTCAAAGATGAGTCCGCGTGTTCCCCAGCAAGACTGGTTATCACAGCCCCCAGCCAGAGTCACCATCAAGATGGAGTGTAACCCAAACCAAGTTAATGGGTCAAGGTAACAAGGCCAGTGTTAGCATGGCTCAAATATACTTTTTCTAAAGATGAATCTAGCTCAGTTGTCTAAATCTGAATCAAGAACCATTTTAGATGCCCCAAGGTACCCCACCTGGCCACCAGCTGCTGTGCTAGAAGCCGAGAGGTCTGCTGCACATTGTGGGTCACACCTGCCAGCCCTATTTAGGTGTTGTGGAGGGTCTCAAATGGTGCTACAGGCACAGTCTTTTCATGAGCTTGTGCAACACCATGCTGTGTTTCCTCTTACTGAGGATAATTTTAGATGTGAACTTGCATTGCATGCTAAGTGAAAGAGTATATATAAAAGTTAGCCAAATGTGAGTTTGCTGTAGTCTGGCCCAGCAGCACTGATCCGTGTAAGGGTGTGGTGTATGTGAAATAACACTCAATGGAAGTTCTTAAAATACAGTAACTTGGGCAGTTGCCTTTGCTCTAAATATAGTCAAGCAGAGAAGCACAGGAAGTAAATTCTTGTAGTGGCAGAGGGAGTGAACTATCGATCTTTACTTTCATATTTAATGTAAACATAGTGCCAAAAAAAACGTATCTGTGGAGTTGGATTTAAGAAGAGCTCACACTGAAGAAACAGCATATGCATGGAGACAAGTAGGGGAGTAGAAAGGAAAAAGGAAAGAAATTACTCGGCTCCACAGGCAGTAGCCACAGCATGTCAGTGCTTTAACTGTTGTCTTGGGACTTATTTTTATCAATTTCTCTGTGAAGGAGAATTGTATCGAAAGTAATGCAGTGGTGTATATTGACTGGTAGCTCCCCCAAGCATAGGTGCGGTCTATGGATTTCTTCCATCTGAAAAGCACAATGAAGATTTTTTTTTTCAAGGAAACTATCCAAACAAGTGCTTTCTTGTTTCAAATGCCTGACTGTCAAAACAGTTTTCCTTTGGTGTTGCTGAAGGGCAGAGGTTCAGAGAGTCGGTTGCTCGCAGTTGTTGGTGATGTACCAGTGAAGGCTGTGCTTCACATCTCTCACAAACACCTGCTTACTAATCTCATCTCCCAGGATCAGTTGTTTAGAAAAACCCCGACCATCATCACTGTGGTTACTGTTCACACTTGCTGTGCTAATGTGATGAGCACCACAAGCAGGGCAAAGTGGTTGACAGCTTATCACACCTACGCTTTTCACCGGTGAGGATGGAAATCGTGCTGAAGTCAAATTCAGAATTTCTAGTGAATAGTCAAAGATTTGAGATATGAAGAAATAAATGGTAATCTGAAATAACAGAAAAGTAGAGGAAGTCTTCCTGTAACTCTCCTTGTTCAGAACTTATTCACAGTCAGTTTCAGTGAGGGGTTTTTTTCTTTTTTCTTCTTTTTTTTTTTATTTTTTTTTTTGTGCTAAGCAAATGCACAGATATAAACAAAAATGGAGTATTAATTCAAAATTATTGCTTCCTAAAGCTTACCTCTAAGTTTTCGTGCTGGCATTGCTTTAAGAGAACTAATCATAGTTTTTCGCAGTGTAAGTGCTATAAAGTGCATGAGACTAGATAATTAGTGTTAATTGTTATTGAGATTAGTGGTAATAATTTGTAATGTTATACATAACTAAAGTCAGTTGTACACAGACTCCTATTTTGACATACTGCCAGATATTAAGGAAGAGTCTAGATTATACATATTCATTTGCAATTGTTGCAATCACATTTTTAAAATCATCAAGCCAGAATCTTGAATTTGCTGTCTTGGACTCCTGAAATACATACCTAACCTGAATACTAATGCTGAGTTCATGGATCACAAGTATTTGGCTGTCGCTGTGGTGGTTTAAGAACAAAATTGTATGCAGTAATTCTGTCTTTTATTAGCTGAAACGTTGTCCTGCCTAATCCTTGTTAGCAGCACTGGTAGCATACTCTGATGTAGGAATGCAGACAAGCCCTGCCTTGCTGTTCAGAGAGGCCTGAAAGTGTCTTTGTGGATAGATGTGTGTTTGGGTGTGCAGCTGGAAGAGGTCCTGTGCTTAGGGCCTTCACTTCTCTCCTGGGGGCTGTGCCATTGTTGGATAAAACCAGAAGTAACCCAGAGAGTGAGGAACTGCAGTGCAGCCATGAGAGCAGAGCGTCCCAGCTGCAAGGCTGGAGTTAGGCTCTCCATCTCTTGCCTGAACCCTCAGTTTGCATTTTGCTGCCTCCCTGGCAGTCCAACTTCAGCAGGCAGGACAGGGCAGGCTCATGTTCAGCATATTGTACAGCCTGCTGGCTGGGGTCATGCATTTATGGGGCAAGGAGGGGGATTTGCCATCCATATCTCCCCAATCTAAGGTATGTTCACTTTCTATATGAGAACTCAAAATACTTTCCAGGGATGGATAAGCATTCAGAATCGCTAAATTAAACAGGCTATTTGGATGTATCTTCTTAATGCCTATAATTTCTCCTTCCTTCATGCTATTTTGGATTAGTGTATGCTAGTTTCTATCACCTTAGGGTGATACTCTGGCTACCTGCACAGTCAATGGAAGCGGCTGCTGGGTTAGATTGCCTGAGCTGCCCTTTGTGAAGAGAGCTATCTGTCTTTCCTTCAGAGGTATCCTGGTCTCCACACTATCTGCATAATATGTTTGTGCATGTTGTTTGAACGGTTATTAGCAGAACAGGCATCTACTTTTGCAAGGATATATAATCTGAGCACTGGGAAATTGTCCTTAAATCAATCTTTTTTGATTAGTCATGAGGCATAATGTTTATTCATACTTTTCCAGCAGAGCTGTTATTTTTATAAAGACATGATACCCAAGAGTTGCCAAGGCATCTGGAACCCCAGTACCGTGGTTTTGCTCTATCCTGACCAACTTTACTGCCATTACAGGAGTAAAAGGATGAAAAGAAGCAATTGTGTGTACCTCTTCTCTAAAAGAAAAATAGCATTAGTTCTACCCACTCCATCATTTGGACTTGGAGTTTAATGCAAATCAGCTGAGAAGCATATGAGGACTAAGTTCTTCATTTTTCTCTGGACAGCATCACTCACATGTGCTTAACGTGTCCATCACTAGAAAATTAACAGCCCAGGTGTGGCCATTCTTTCCCAATATGAACAAGCATGTGAGCTGACACACTGGCTAAGCTGGTGGAAAAGGCTGTACAAGTTACTGCTCTGAAATGCAAAACAGTTTTCACCAGAATACTGGTTTTCTAAAAAGCACGTTCTGGTTGAAAATATAATGGGAAGAAATGTAATGCTTTCAATATTGAATTAAAAATAACCTACTGCATTGGATGCAGGGGATTGTTTATTAATCTTGGATTTGACAGCCTCCCCTATTGACAGATCAATGCAGTGTTGTTAACTGGAGAAAACAAGGAAAATTAATACTTCACTAGAATTCCTAAGACTGAAAAATAAACCACAGAAAAAAAAATCACTTAAAGACTACCAAAAAAAGAATACATTAACAAAACAAAAACAAACAAAAAAAAAATTGATGCATATATTGCTTGCTTGTACTTAATATAAAAAAATATATTTTAATTAAGATACACTGTTTATTTCATCAGAGAAGTATTATTTTATAAGGCCTAACACATGCCTGAAAAATGTATTATTACACAAGTGTAAATATTACACTTTTAATGGAGAACTAACATTGCCACGTAACAAATATGAATATGTTGTGACATTTCTAAAACTCACACACGTATGTGCATGTCATATGTATAGTGTTGTTATACTTTGGGAATTGGAAGGCTTCCTAGTATGTGATATTCCTGATAGTTGTAGAAAAACTTGTATATATCTCAAACATTGAATTAAAAGAATTATGTATCAGAAATAAATTATTCTTAGATAATCATATAAAATATTCTGATATGATAGTGATGAGTACTGTCAATATGGACATTACTACAGGTCAGTGCGACAAATGCATCTCTTACGAATCTAAAACCATTTATTCCTCCCTCAAGCCATGCTAGGTCTTTGCCAGTTGATGTTGGTGTTTCATTGGTCTCCTGACAGATTATGTGCTGTTCATCACATACGTGGTATTGGTCACACTTTCTATGCACAGACTAGAGGGTCCCTGCCATTCTGTAGGTTATTTTGCATTTTCTTTTCTGCAGAAGCCTTCCTCACCCTGCTCACATTTGCAGTCCATAAATTTATTTCCTTAAATGAAATGCTCTGTTCTTAAAAATGCTTCATATGTTAAAAATCAACACATTCAGTAGCTAGAGCTGCTTTTCATTTTTAGTAAAACTATACCTGCTCTGTTTACACCTATTTTAAAATCTGGGTTGTCCCAAATGAGTCTGAAATGCCACAGCCACATTGCAGAATTGCAGAAGTGCTACCTCTAGGATCTCTAGAGTATCCTCTGTAATCGTCTTCCTATGTGGAACCTGGGTCTGTGTAAAGAGTATACAAAGCAGGGTAACAGACCCCACAAAATAGCAACCAGAGAATAGTTAGTATTGCAATTTTTTTCTGTCCAGCTCTCCCTTCTCACTGTGTTAGGCTACTTCCTGGCCATATATTCTGCTGTCTGGAAGGGGGTATAAAATTTTAGGAGCCTACTGAAGCCCCTTACACATCAACAATTAAGTACCCACTCAAAGCACAAATGTATGCACTCTGCTAGGACTTTTCACAGATACACTTTGGCTGTAATTGCCCCATATTAAATCTCAAAACATAACAGTCTCAGAACTGACATTCCTGTGAATACCGAAGCAGTAACATTAGAATGAAATTAAAAGGTTATTTTCAGTGGGCTGCAGAGGGATTAGCTACATGGTTTTCTTTAACAATAACAGTATTTTTAAAGCTAGACCCTGCTGCACAGAACCAGAAAATATAGCCTAAGGGCCTACCTTAAATTAAATAAAGCAAGAAAAGTTTAAATTAAAGCTGTCATTTACCTTGCTGTTGTATGTATAATGCAGATTGTCACAGATAGTATCAAATTGAGTTTCTTCAAATCCATTATGTTGGTGCAGCCATTATACTTCTGCCAGGT